TATTTCAGACCTATTTCAAACCTATTTTAAACCTTCTATTAACCACCAAATATTTAATAATATTCAATACCCGAAGGATTCATATTTCATTGATAATAATTCCTTAAAATAGATTAATTCTTATCATTATTTGGCAAAATCCTGAGGCTCATTTACCAATCCGATCTCAATTGAGTACCCTGTAACAACGTACCTCGCATTCAATTTTAATACTTAAGATGCAAAATAACGACAATCAACGCGGTCCGGAAAGACATGCCGCGGTCCGTACAAGCATTATTAAAATTACATCCTAATTATAATTATGAATATCAAAAAAATTAAGAATTTAAAACCCATTCTAATTATATCCATTACGATCCAAAAAAAATTAATACTATCAAAATCAATAAATAATTAAAATAAATTATAATTAAAGCCATAATTTCCGGAAAATTTATAACCCATAATAAACATTAATTAAATTCATTATAATCAAAAACAAAATATCGCAATCCAGAAAAATAATTTTTAAATTTCGCAAAAAAATATATTCAAAAGGCAATCCAATTACAACCAATACAATCCAAAAAAACATTTCAATTTAAATTTTCCTTATTTAAATTAATTAATTTATAAATTTAAACATTATATTATTTTAAATTTATTCGAATAATTTCATTTCGAATTTTATTTTTATCTTTTCCCATTAAAATTTCAATTATTCCATATAAAATAATTTATATAAATGTTCCTATATTTATATTATTTATTAATATATAAATATTAAATCTCATTTTAAATTCCATAAAACAAAAAAATATATAAATTAAATATATAAAATTTAGAAAAATAAATATATATTATATATATAAATTTTTAAATAAAATATTTTATCCATATAATCCGAAATCAACAACCACAATTATACTATTTTTTAGTTATTTTATTAATTTCCTTAAAATTCAAAACATATAAAATAATTAGTATTTCAATCAATTTTTTTTCTAAATATAAAAAATAAAAAAAATATTTATATATACTATATTTTTCAAAAATAATTATTTTCCCATATATATTTTTTATTCGTATATTTTTAATATCTATAATATTTTTTAAATTTTAAATTTATAAATTATATAACATAATACCTAAAATAGAAACCGTCTCGCAACCGCCGCCAACCAATTATTATCGATTACCATCCTAAGGCACCATCCCTCATAATAACCGGAAAATTATATATTTTTTTATTATTATACCCTTTACAATTTATCAAGGTTATGCGAAGTCTACGCAAAACCTATGCAAAGCCTATGCAGGCTGCAAAAGTAGCCTATACGAGGGATAATTTGTAGTTTGCTAAAAGTGCCTATAAGAAGCCTATGAGGGCTGCAAAGGCAGCCTACATAAAGACTCCACAAAAAAAAAAACGCAGCTCATATAAGCTTCTTCAAATAAAAATATATTAAGAATTCCGGTGATATAATTCTAAATTCATTTATTCCATTGATAATAACATATAATTACTATATTATTATGTATGTATAGATATGTATATACTTAGATTTGATTGTATATTTGCATTATAATCTAACATAAGATGTTGAATAAGACAAACATTAAACGCTATTCCAATCTATTCCAAGGTGTAACCACTATAAATCAGATTGGAATGGCAAGAAATTGAACACATCAAATGCCTATCCAAAGGTCCTATGGAATTCCGGCAGGCGCCTTTAGGATTTGCTCCCCTGCGCCTAAATAAGACGTTTTATCACAAAGAGCTTGCCCGTCACCACTTGCTGTATGGAAGTGTATATATGTGATATTTTTTGTGCATTATTCATTGGTCGGGCTTTCGACCTGCAAGCAGCGCGACTGATTGATTCCAGATTGATGTCTGACACCTCTCACATGGTCATTTTGCATTTCATCACCAAAACCAGACGACGGATGGCCCGAGAGCGTAGAGGAGCAGGGTCTTCTCTTGTTAGTATGGAGACACCATATTACAAAACAATATATTGAAGATGTGTTATAGGCAGACGAGAAGAGGAGTATCAAGACAATATAGCACAAGTACAAGACAATAGTTTGCATCGTATCTTTCAAATAGCTTTTCACACACAGAACTTTTTACAGAGAGACGCTTTTACATACGGAAGCATTTGCGCACATACATTTTTACACGCAGACGCTTTTACACACAGACGCTTTTACACACAGGCACTTTTACACACAGACACTTGCGCTTTTACACACAGACAGTTTTACACACAGACGCTTTTACACACAGAAACTTTTACACAGACGCTTTTACACACAAAAGCTTTTACCCACAGAAGCTTTTGCACACAGAAGCTTTTACACACAGACACTTTTACACGCAGACCCTGTTAGACACAGGAGCTTTTACACACAGAAGCTTTTACACACAGACACTTTTACACACAGAAGCTTTTACACACAAACACCTTTACGCACAAACACTTTTACACACAGACGCTTTGACACACAGAAGCTTTTACACACAGACGCTTTTACACACAGAAGCTTTTACACACAGAGACTTTTACACGCAGACCCTTTTACACACAGGAGCTTTTGCAAACAGAAGCTTTTACACGGAGACGCTTTTACACACAGAAGCTTTTACACACAAACACTTTTACACACAGACGCTTTTACACACAGAAGCTTTTACACACAAAAGCTTTTACACACAGACCCTTTTACACACAGAGGCTTTTACACACAGAAACTTTTACACACAGACACTTTTACACGCAGACGCTTTTACACACAGCACGCTTTTACACACAGAAGCTTTTACACACAGAGGCTTTTACACAAAACTTTTACACACAGAAACTTTTACACACAGAAACTTTTACACACAGACGCTTTTACACGCAGACGCTTTTACGCACAGACGCTTTTACACACAGAAGCTTTTGCACACAGAAGCTTTTACAGACAGGCGCTTTTACACCTTTTACACACAGACCCTTTTGCACACAGAAGCTTTTACACACAGAGGCTTTTACACACAAAAACTTTTCCATACTTCGCCGGATAACATGGAAATCGCAATTTTACCTCAGTTTTTGGCGATCGAACCTCGTTTCGTGCGAAAGGGTTGCGTGGGACAAGTTGAAATCGCAATGTTACCTCAGTTTTTGGCGATCGAGCTTCATTTCGTGCGAAAAGGTTGACAGGAACCCGGAAATCGCAATTTTACCTCAGTTTTTGGCGAAGGGTTGCGACGGGAACCCGGAAATCACAATTTTACCTCAGTTTTTTGCGATTGAACCTCATTTCGTGCGAAAGGGTTGCGTTTCGTGCCGTCTCGTTGGCACTGCCCCTGCCCCCGCCTTCAGAAGAGAAATAGAAAAGAAGGAGAGGGCAAGAGGGCAAGAGGGCAAGAGGGCAAGAGGGTAAGAGGAGAAGATGTCAGGATGAGAAGATGTGAAGATGAGAAGATGTGAAGATGAGAAGATGTGAAGATGAGAAGATGTGTAGATGAGAATGAGAAGATGTGAAGATGTGATATGTGAAGATGTGAAGATGAGCAGATGAGAAGATGAGAAGATGAGAAGATGTGAAGATGAGCAGATGAGAAGATCTGAGGATGAGAAGATGTGAAGATGTGAAGATGTGAAGATGAGAAGATGCGAAGAGGAGAAGATGTGAGGATGAGAAGATGTGAAGATGAGAAGATGTGAAGATGAGAAGTCGTGAAGATGAGAAGATGAGAAGATGTGAAGATGTGAGGATGAGAAGATGTGAAGATGAGAAGATGTGAAGATGAGAAGATGTTTTACAGACCCCACTATTGGAAGAACCGTGCGCTCAGACGCTCTCGGGAAAAAAAAAAGACCAGCCTCTGCTTGGCAGGGATCAGAGCCCCTTCGGACAAGGACGCACCTGACAAATAATCAGTTGCTGCAAAGGCGCTTCACCATATGCCCTGCAGAGCTGAGATCAAGGCCGTTGCTTGTTGATCCTTTTGCATTTCTGGCAACTCACCTACAGTTTTGGAGTCTGCTTCAGATCAAGGAATTCCAGGTGGCCCCGTTGCCTGCTTCGGGCTTGTCGGCATCTTCCTGAAAGGGAACGGGCATTGAAGAACAAGCTGATTTGGATCCAATCTTAAAATGTGCCAACAAGATCCAACAAGTAGCTGGAGCCCGGTCAACAGCTGCAAATCTTGCCTGTGGAGGCAATGGAGTCAATGAGCTTTTCGGCAAGGCGTGGGAAGTTGTGAGCACCTGCAGGCTGCTCTTGACGCTGCATGCAAGTTGATGGTTGGTCTGACCCTTCTGATTCAACGAAGCAAAAGAGTTGGTAAAGAAAACAGGAGAAACTGAGCCAGCTGCAGAAAAAGCTGAAGGTGGTATGCTGGCTGTCGTTGCAGTGATCACAGATCTGAGCCAACGCTTGCTCTGCATGGCATCAACAGCTACACATGCCTGCACTGCAAAATCCTTGGCACTTTGACAAATTAACCTGCTTCAAGCCCACTTTCTTCACAAAGTGAGTGTCAGAAAAAAGGGAATATCCCAGAATATTCATATGATGCAGTATAATATCTTACAATCTATGGCCATTCAAACATTATTTTTATATGTGTTTGTGATGGTTCACCACCAATTCTTTGCCACAGCCACGACGAAAAAATATCGAACAGGGGGGTTGTCTCCAGGCAGCTGACTCCACATCTGCAGGGAGAGGCGGGCCGCCGGGCCAGCGCCAAAGACCCTTGGTGAAAAGGTCCATCAGACATCCGTTGACATTGATATTAGGTCACTGATTTGTTCATTGATTGTTCACTGATTTGTTCATTGACATTGACATTGACATTGACATTCATCGATTGTCATCGATGGTCATCGATTGTCATTGATCATAACTGTTGTCATGCGAAATCATAATCATTGATACCCGTTGCTAAGCATTGAACATTGATATCCATGCACGTCAGAGAAACTATAACTCATCCAAAACCAGCTGGAACTGGGGGCCCTACACCCATGGGCACTGGAGCAATACGTCTCTGCCTTTCGCTTTCAGGACATCTCTGCAAGGTGAAATGGTAATGGAAGCTGCTATTGGAGATGGTGTGTTAACCTTCAGCATTGCAACTAAAAGAGACACAGCTTTAGGCTTTGACTTGTACTCGTTCTGATCATTTCTGATCTACATATCAAAAGCTTCGTTTCTGTCATGTAGATGATGGTATCTAAGATCCTGCATAGCGGCTGTGCAGTTCGGGGTGTTGGTCTGGCATCGCGGACACTGGTGGCAGCCGGAGCTCCGAAGCGCTGCGGCCTTTTACCTGGAGTGTGTTGCATGATGGGAAGTATATGTCCTATGAAATGGTATGAGATGGTGCCAGTTGCCACAAAAAAAATCAAGTGTACGAGGGTATTGGAAAGTATCAGTGATAGCTGTTCGGGATTCAGCACTCTTGACCCTGTCGGCAGAGAACTATACTTTGGATGTTGGAACACTGGGCTTGGGAGAGATACCTACAAATAGAATTTCGTCAAACAAACATACACAAGCAGGATTGTGTGTGTATGTGACTTGGTGTGTGCATCAGGTCCATCTAATTGTTTATCCAGCTAACGTACATGTTCGCGGATTAGATCATGGCAATTTACAGTATTATTATCAACGTGTCAATATCACTCAACCTGTTGCTGATGCAGGCTATACAGGTACGATCAGGTGCGACTATGTCATGCGTGGTGTGCGCCAGTAGCTGCAAAGTCCAAGGGCCCTGCAAACCCGGCTTTCGCTCTGTGCCTCAAGCTGAAGGATTACCGCCAACCTATGTAGAATGCGTTAGAACTAGTTAGAATCATTGGTATCTTGGTCCTGCAACCAGCTGTTTTTGGATCCTGGATAGCATCAAACATGCGAGTTTCCTGCGTATCCCATGAACCAATCCTAGGAAATCAAAGGCCCGGGCAGGTCGTGCAGGGTGCAGTAGACCAGGCCATGGTCAGCCTGTGGGTCAAAATCCTGCTCTATCCTGCTCTGGTGAACCATGAAAAAGAATGAAAAAACAAACAGGCTCACGGCTCCCTATAAATGGATGTTCATTTGCCGAAATATAGTAACTATATTTTTTCTAGATGTAATTAGAGGTTGTGACCCATCATGTATATATGAAATGAGGCGACCGCTATCAATATTCTCATATATTCTGAGGGTATGACCATTGTGACCATCCCGGAAAATATGCTGGTAGATACCTCCACTCCAGTGTGGACCGCTTTGCACAGATGACATCTGGTCGATTCCACCTCTTTCCCAAACGGGGACGTGTCGTTATTTTTCCTTGGTGACAGAGACAGATTGAATCACCGCTATGACATGATTTGGATCTGTCCGAAACTGGGGTAACCCTAAATCCACGGGTTAATCACCATCCCTCTTCCCAAATAATTGATATTCAACGCCTACGTTGGTGCCCCATCTTCAAACACTCACATTTTCCTGTCCTCATGTGTTGATGAGTGATATTTGTCCGTGTCTGAGTGCTAGCACTCCCATCCTGCTGCGACTTCTGCAATCAACGCTGGCTTGTGGTATGCTCGCTGCACTACCTGAACTGGCGAGTCAAATTGCATCTGAATGCAACAGGCCTCTTTTACTCACAGGATACTCACAGGCCCAACCACTGAACGAGAAACGTAAGCACTTCGGGTGGATTCCAAATTCAAAGTGAAGACCTTTGCATGATGATACCGATACAACCAGTCCAATTCATGTACCTGACAAGGCACCTATTGCATTCGAATTTGGCACATTGGTGCCGCAGTTCTTAGATCTGAGATGATCTGAGTAATTTCATATCGCAGGTTTGTAGCCGAAATTTCGGCCATGGGCATGTCGGCATAGTGCCGAATCTAATCTCTAGGATACCGATCAGGTTCCAAGGCAATTTTTGCACAGGGGAAGTGGCGAACAAGCGACTCAGCGGCGAAACGACTCGGCGTCCAACAAAGGAACCACAGACAAGTCAAAGAAATTCAAAGAATCTGTGTATGGAACCTCCTTCTGGACTGCATCTTTCCAGAAGTGTGTATGTCCTCAGCAAATCAGGCTCATGACAACAAGATGGAGAGGGGAGCGTGGCCCATTTGAGCCAAGTGGTGACTTTACAGTATGTCCCATCATGGTAGCTTGGGGAGCTCCAATTCATACCATCATCAGTGCACCCAAAGACGCTTCATATAGGCTTTCCCATGCTTCCCCAAAAAAACACTTACAAGAGCATCTCTTCTCCATCCCCAAACAAAACCATCCAAGCCAAATATGGCATTGGTCATGCATACAGACATACTTAGCTATCCCATGCAGACCCATTATACACTCCCTCCCACATGATGTTATTCATACGCAAGTGTAGATAGATCGATAGATCGATAGATGGATACTTATATAGATTTACTTCGATTAACTTAGATGATCCGTTTTCATCCGTTTTCAGAATCTTTCCACCCCCAAGTCCCCACCTTTCACTGGGCACCCCCGACTGGCGCCAGTCTCTAAGCCTTCAGGGCCCAGGTGTCCCACCTGCCGGGAGCGACTGGATCCACTTGAGGTCATGACTCCTTCGCAGAGATCCCGTTGAGGTAAACCATATGGGCTGAGATCGGTGAGAGTTGATGATCGTTGGTTTCCAAAGGGTAGGTTGTTGCAAACATCACCTGCAACTTTGTTAATGCGAAATGTTGCGTGCGGGATTGACATTTCAGTGCTTCGTCGATATGGTATGTAAGCTACATGAATCCGAAGGTCTTTGGGAACCTGATTCTGTAGACATGACAGCGTAGTGATTTGTATTGATCCAAACATTTGTGATCTCATGTCAAGCCTTCACCATGAACGGTGAATAATTAATCTGGTCCCACAAGCAATACAATATTATGGGTTGTAAATCCACGTGCTTCCCAATCCCCGTTCCCCACAGCACCACAGGGTCCTATTGAGTCGAAGAACTCATTTACTGTGACTGTGAAGCCAAATTGCCACCATGTAACTCTGCCGCTGCTCAATTGAGGCAGTTTCTGCACGCTGGCTCGAATGAAAACTTGCTGACACAGCTCTGACTGGAGAGATCTGGACAACGATGGGCTCTGTGCTATCCTGCTACCCAGCATCAGCAAACAAATAACATCAAGCAAACATAATGTAGATTGGAACTTGGGTCTCACTTCATAACTAGCATCAATCAAAGGGGTGTTCACCTTTTCAGATTAGTCAGAGAAATGCCAGTGAGTTCTCAAGCCTTTCAAAGACTCCTTGGCAACCTTGGCATCCTGGACATCTTGGAGCCATCCTTTTTCTTCGGCCATTTTTGGAGTCCGGTTTTTGATCGTTATGTACAAGGGCGCCGCTGTGCAGCGAGGGATCTCTCAACGGTCATAGCCAAGCATTCCCATGGAGCCAGACATTCCCATAGTTCCCATGCTTCCCATGGCACCTGTCATCTGATTGGCCATGCTATTCATTCCACCCATTCCACCCATTCCACCCATGCCACTCATGGCTGCTGAAGCTGCTGCCATGGCTGCAGAAGCAGGACGAGCCAAGTGCTGGGTCACTTGGAGCCAACTGGTCTCATCCAGCAATCTCTTCTTCTGCCGTCTGTTGTCTCTCACAATCAAAAAGAGAAACAGACCCAGCAGAGTGAAGAGAACTTTGAATCGTCTTCTGATTCGATTCATCTCAGATTCCTTCTCTTCCTTCGACTTCTGCTCCGGATCGGGAGTCTGAGCTGGCTGATCCTTGACTGCAGAGTTTTTCAAGGCCCAGATCCACTCCACCACGTCGCGCAAGCGGTAGAAGGTCACGGTGACGTGTTCCTGCAGCTGTTCCAACATGATGCCTTGGCGTGGAGGACACATGGGAACAACGTCTCGGAACCGCTGGGGACTGGACCACCACCCCATGCAGTTGGCTGATTTGGAAGTACTCAAAAATCGAAGGCAACGGGATTTGAAAAAAGTCCCTCCAAATCTTATTTGACACGTAAAATCTGGTTTTTGCTCCTTATTTCTTACAGTTTCACGAAGAAAAATGAAACATTGGCGCTGCGACAGGATGCTATTCATCTCCAGCATCTGTGTCATGCGGAACATGCTTTCGGCATAGCTGCTGCCCATTCCAGGTCCCATCATGCCTCCATACATGCCGCCTCCGTACATGCCACCATAGCCACCGTAGCCACCATACATGCCGCCATAGCCGCCATACATGGATCGTCCATACATGCCACCGCCATAGCCGCCGTACATGAGTGTAGCGTTACTGCACAAATGGAAGGGATACGGGAAGACTTCAGGCCGCAGCAAGCACCTACTACGATATGGTCTGCCCCCAAAAAAGTTGATAGCGAGACAAATACAGATTGACACATAGCACATAGTAATTATTGATAACGCTTCATATCAAGTCCCAAACTGTCTCATCGAACCAAGTCTTTAGCCCGTTTGGAATGACTATTCTCAGTTGGCTTTGCACAGCTGCTTCAAACAATCAAAACGTAGGCTGTTCTACAGCCTTTACCAATCCTAAACCTCCCCTCAACTCTGTTTCAAAGGTCGACAAAGGTCAAAACTTCGCTGTCCTGCTACCAGATCCAACTAGGCCAGGACCAAGGTATTCTCGGCCATGGCAATCTACCAAGAACCACCGAAAGGAAGCTCCCTTGCTGTGTCTATTCGATATTCTTTGCTGGAGATTGCGGATGAGAACCTCTACTTCAATGGAGTATCGGAGTAAGAATAAACAGGGCGCTGTACTCTGCGTGCCATATGAACTATGAAACTCCACTTGCTTGAAATGCACTCCTCGCTAAGCTGAAGCAGATCGGACAGCGGATTATAATGGATTATATAGGTTTCCGGAGGGCGCATGCCATGCACAGAAACAGACATCATGCATGTGGCAGCGGCTGCCTCACTTTTTTGCTGGCGGGTGCACGTTGCAGTGTCTTCTCCAAATTGCTTCCAGGAAACACCAGATCCAGTATCTAAAACTGCTTCCAACTGTCACGTTAGCGCAAAAGGCAATCCGACAGGTATGTGTTCAAACATATTGGGCATGTTCCACACTTGAATTTGGAGTAGACAGGAACGTTTGCCATCCGCAATCTTTCTCTGCACTAAGTCTTCTCAGGATAATCCATGCCGTTCCACCTTCCTGCCTCGGAAAACAAGTCTGCGCGAACTGCTGCCCCAGCGATTTAGGTATGTCAGCCGAGCTATTCTGCAGCACTGGCCAGGCCTATCCAACGTGTAGAGGCAAAGCAACCACGGAACTAATCCCATCCCCCTGAAAATGGCAATTCTAATTCTAATTTCATTGGAAAATCATTGCTCTGCATTCTGTGCCAAATGCGCTCGTATTGCAACATCTATCTGGGACTTGGTATATAACCCCAAAATCCATGGTTTATCATTCTCCTTGTTACGAGTAAAGTGGTGTTTTGGGATCCCTTTGGTTTAAGATGTAAGCCTGCGCAATGCAGGATAAACGAACGCATACGAACGCAGCAAGACACTGTTTTGGAGCAATGTTTTGAACTACCCCAATGACCCCAAGGGGTGTCAGAATGATTTCACAAAGCCACAAGGAACATAATAAAACATCTGGCGTGCGAGTATTTGCAAAGGTATATAAATGCGACGTTTTATGCAATGTTGGGTTTGCTCCACGTGAAAGCTGCCGTAGAGAACCACCACCACCCCAAGGGAGTCTTTTCCACTTCATATATTGGTTGTATATGAAGCCCGTAAGTTTTTCTTGTGTAGTTTTTGTTTTCTGGCGCAAAAGATCCGACTCATTGAACCCTCCCCGTCATATATCGATCCCTGCACGCACGGGATTTGGGTTCACCGTCACATTTTGATACATTTTGGTATAAGACTTCCATTGGGCGGAGTCACTGCAGGACACGATCGGGCCAATCGCGCACCCAGGTCCGTTAGATAGCTGTCGGATAGTCGTTGGATAGCCATAGCGGATCGCCGTCGGATAGCCATCGGATAGCTATCGTGACCCTTCAAAAGGCATCTAAACGACGCCCCGGCCGTCGGATAGCGTCGGATAGTGTCGGATAGAGCCGGACAGCGTCGGACAGCGTCGGATAGCCTCGGGTAGCATCGGATATTTGGGATAGAATCGGATAGCATAGGATCGGTTTGACGGTTTTGCAGTCTTTCGGTAAGCACTCCCTTCATTGGTCCTATCGGTTCTCATCGAAACAAAGAGGCATTTGGAAAATGGCGGTGTTGGGTCGCTTGGGGCCCTCTTTTTCAGTGTGTGGATTTGTCGCGTTCGGGTGCTCTGCCTTTGAAAAAATGATCCAAAAAGTTGGAATTGTTTCCTTCTTACACTAGGGATGCATTTGTGGGTGATACGCTGGGGATCTAGTCGCGGAGGCTCTGTGAGCCTTTTCGATTCTTAGATATTCTTAGCGGTTTCGATTTCTTGTTCAGTTTTTTGTACAAAATGCTTTCAGAAAAATAGGGGGAACCGCCTGCTGAGGAGTGATTCTTTCCAATCTTTTGAGAAAACAACATATACGTACCTTTCTTAAATCAAAATTTCAGGCAAGGGGGCCTCTCGGGGGGATGGGGGTCAAGGTTTTGTAATTGATCGTGACCCCTCATGGGGCTTCAGTGCTGATCTATCCGTTTCTTTTCACACCCCGGTCGCGGTGACACAGAAAGTCCATCGGGAGCATTAGGGAAGCAATGTGTTCAAAGACTTCGACGTTCCAGCGACGCTCAGGTCATTTACGAGTTCGTCCGCATCAACAATTTGAAGCCACAGGACCACTGATAGTTTGGCATCATGTGCCCATCACATGAGTTTGTCTCCAAATTGGGGACTCGCAAATCCCATGGTTGGAATCATCATATTCCCTACATCCTATTCGAGCTATTTGGATCTATTTGGGCTAATTTTGAGACATACCCACATTCACCATGAGAAGTCCAACCAGAAAGGCCTGGTCTGGTTTCGGGCCTTAAACATGTTTGTGAAAATGACCTGATCATCAAACGAGGACGTGGAGCTTGCTGCTTTGAAAAAGCCGGCACACTTGCAGTGACCTTCGTCTCCCTGCATTCGTGGCCAGCAAAGTAATCAGTTCTGAACCCTCCATGAAACGCTGTCAACACCAGGAGGTTCTGTGGGCAAGGATGAGAAGGGAAAGTACAGTAGTAGGATTCAGGGATGTATTGCAAAACAACGAATCATCCAGTTTGATCTGTTCATGCAACAGATGTTTTTTACGCTCCACCCATTCAACCCTGTTTCTTTGGAAGGCTGCTACCAGTAGGGTCATGAACATCGAAAGCGGCATCACACTCTTGCCCAACAAGGATTCCCTTTGGGATGAGATTTTGTTCATGGACCAAACGGGATGCAGTCAAAACAAATAAGCAAAGCCAGTCCCCACGTACAACCGGAAGGCGTGCTGGGGACTTCTTTAAACCTTTTGGCATTCCTTGGGGCCCTTAATATTCTTAATGCTAGCACTGCTAGGGAGCTCTACAAGAGGACAGGGAAGGATCTAACCCTTTATAAAAGACTAGGAAGGCATGTTCGGCCCCATCACCCCTTAAGCATCCTATAACTGTCGCATGAACTTTGCCAAATCCTACAGCTCTCCAGTTGAAGATTAGATAGATCAGGTTTTGCGCTGCCACCGGGCCAGCTCAGCTCAGCTCACACACAAGCCTGCTTGATCTTAGTGGCCTCACATGCTGCGCCGACACGAAAAAAACTGCTCTGAGGGACTCGAGCAGTTCACTTTACTTCCCAGGGAATGGCTTCAACCAAAACTGGTCTGCTGGGCCAGCGATTTGCCAAGAAAACGACAGGAACGATTCCTTTGAGAATTTGATTATTCTTGACATCAGAGCCTTTCAACACTCAAAGTTTTTTGTTGCTCAACAGGTGGCAAACAAAACCAAAACCGCCGAAAGGCACCAACAAAGGCGGAACAAATGGGTGACAAAGAGCATGACGAGTGGGAGACAGAACCGAAACCAGCCGGCCCAAGGCACCAAGCACTGGCAAACAAATGGAAGGCATGATTTGTCCCCACTAAACTGACACAGGCATGGACATTCTGCCACAAGAATTGTAGAGTCATAGACATGTATAGACTGTAGAGATCATTTTCCTGCAAGGTTTGCCCTTCCCTTCTCCAACTGTTCCTTTCTCCCGGGTCGCCCCAATGCCACCACACTTCGGTACCCAGCCTCGGGCTCCGTTGCCTCGGGCTCCGTTGCCTCGGGCTCCGTTGCCTTGGGCTCCGTTGGCTCTGACGGAGCCGGCGCGGCCGCGGCTTTGGGCGCCGGCGCCAAGGCTGCGGATGTGATGCGGCTCGTGGAGCGACTGGAGTTTTGCGCGAAGTCTGGCCCCGTCTCCACCACCTGCGACGTGCTGCCACGTGCTGTTGCAGTCACATGCCACCCAAGGCTTTGGCCCAAGGCTTCAGAATTAAATTGCCTATTTCCAGGGCCCAACACCTTCTGTGCCAAGTTCCCTAGAAAAGCAAAGAAGTAGCGAAAATGCGGCCCGAAAATCAAAATTACAACGCCCTGGACATCCAGGACTCTAGACTTGCCAAGGCCTCGCTGCGCAACACCGCAACGGCCACTTTCAACGCCTGCAAGTCGTAGACCCCAAGTTTTTCCATCTTTTGGGCCAAGTGTTCCGTGGGTTTGCCAGCAAGAGCCGCAATCATGTTGAAGAGCTCCGAGGCAATCTGCCGGACACATCGACTGAAATCAAACGTCGACTTCTCTCAGTCGGATTTTTCGAACGTGGAAACTCGAATCTTAATCTGTGATGGGGTTGTCTCAAAAAATAAGGACCCCTCAAATTACCACTTGGGAGCGCAAATTATGATAAACCACTGGATGAGACTTTGCGATAGCCCTAACAATAGCGGTTGCCTTCTGGATGGAGACACTTTCGCGCTGTGAGGGTTGGCCGTTTTATTTTGTTTCAGAGGGGCATGGTTCTTGCCTCACCAAAAAGGTCGCAAGATCGCTTCAGAAACAACCAGGTCAGCAATTGCACAATACCACAACATGTACCAACCGGCTTAACCACCCAGCCACAGCTCCGACGAACTAGACAACGGATGTCCCGAGAGTGACAAAGGTTGTTAGAAAGAAGCGTGCATGCAAGCACACGTGTTGTATACTTGTATATACTGGTATGTTCGGAAAGGCACAGCAAATTGAGC